ACATTTTATGCATTATCATTGTTAAAATCGTCACGAGATAAAAACATAACTCTCAAACGTATTGAATAGTCTTAGAAATTATGGCATGTTTATGTTGAGTAGGTTCGTGTGATTAATTCTGTTTAATAGGTATTGGGGAAACACGACCATGACAACCTTGGGAAACTCATTATACTCATAGCTACAATGTACGGGTTCTTCTTGATACAAATGATTGTCAGTCTGTTCCACGGGAATCATGATCATTCTCAGGTACTGAGTTCATTGTTGCTGTTCGTTATCTCCATATCCTTCTGTTATTGCTTGAGGGGTCTGCAGAATTTCAGCCATATTTCGGTATTTCGGTGGAGTATTACAGTGTCACTTTACTCAGACAACTATGAATCTGTATATCATAATATCAAGAAATATTTCGTGTTTTCCAGATATTTATGAAAGAAAGTCAGAAATCGCAAGAGATTCATGTCTCTAAGAATGAAATAATGGAACTTGAAAATAAGGTAAGCTGAGAGAGAGAAAGAGAGAGGGAGGGGTTCCTGAAAGCAATTTTCAGTATTGCTTTTCATCACAATAGGCAAGAAAAAATGACGCCGTGCTTAACAACACCCCGAGGGAGGATAATCCGATGGAGAGACAGGAGTCTAACGAGAGTCAGAAGGACCTGACGATAGAAGAATGTCCATCAGAGTCCAACGTCTCCACGTACGATAAAGGTCGAATACCTTATACTAATCTGTTGAAGACTTAGACTTGTAATTTATTATCTTTTGACACTGTAATTGATTATCTGAGCTAATTTTCAACAGACATCATCCCCGCCGTGTGGATGGTGATAATTGGTGACTGTGTTCACAACTTTGCTGACGGTCTCGCCATTGGCGCCACCTTCACCCAGAGTTTAACAGAAGGATTGTCCACGGCTATAGCGGTGCTTTGTCACGAGATTCCACACGAGTTAGGTCAGTATTCCCCTTGTTGTGTCACTTGATACCACTAATTTACTTTCTTATTGTGACTTGTGATAGTGACACGAGATACTATACGAACTAGTTTACTAACTCTCTTGTTGTAACTTAACGGATTGTTTGGTGAGTTAGCTCCACATTAAGCTATAAAATGGACAAAACAAACAAATGGTTTACGTCACAATCACGTTAGATGATTCAACTTTTCCTTCGTCAGTTTTTCTTATTTATGTACAGTGTAGTTGTATTCAACTCTCGCCTGCTTATGGTGTTAATGTCTCTAAACTTACTCACTACTCAAGATCATACTCTGAGAACGATCATTTTTAAAATGATGCATGCTACCCACTGATAAGTTGAGGTTACAGGGATTTCAACAACCTTATTTAAAGCCCACATTTCGTAAATTCCTTGATCGTAAGAGTTTGGGTAAAGTTGCACGGAGGTCTTTGCTATAAATAGGGGATTTCGTCATATTACTTGCCGCTGGCTGCACGAAATTCTGTGTTTTATTAAGGTACGAAAGCCATGAAGGGACACGGCGATTTTTCAAAAAAGTAAATATTAATTTGAGATCTCGAATTACACAATCCGATCCCACGGATTACTAATTCGTTCCCTCGATTTATAATTCGAGATCTCGAAATACACAATCCGATCCCACGGATTACTAATTCGTTCCCTCGATTTATAATTCGAGATCTCAAATTACACAATCCGATCCCACGGATTACTAATTCGTTCCCTCAATTTAAAATTCGAGATCTCAAATTACACAATCCGATCCCACGTATTAATAATTCGAGATCACGTTTTGAAACATCAATCTTATGATTTTGGCAATCAGTGCTCGCGAATTTTTTTTACATGTATATATGTATACATGTAATGTTGGATACCTTCAAATCCAACTATTTGAATCACTTAATGCGATTCATGTATTTTGTTTCAGCAACCGCGGTCGTTCTGAACCTCTTTAATTTATAACTAATTCAACGTATATTTATTTAGATAAAAAATAATTACACAGGAGCCATATTTACTTTTACTATATTTCAATTATTCTAATATACACGTAAAACAAAACCCAGGACTTTTTTGTATAAATATCAGTATTAGAATATGGATTTGAGTCATGTTCATATAATTTTCTCATTTTGGACCGTAATATGTAATAAAAGGTAGGATGTAAACAACTACAATATTCTATTTATTAAACACGTATTGCCATATCCGATATGTACAGATAGCTGATATTAATGAAATCATGAGAAGGGTTTACATTCCGAGGGAACGAATTGTTTAAAATGAGAGAATGAACAAGAAACATATTGACGCAAGCGTCAAAAATCGGCCGCAAACCAATTTATGTAACCGTTGAAATTATTTTAGAAAATGAAATTTGCAGTTTTTTTTTTAAATTTCTTATATTTTCAGCTAAAATATCCTCGTGACACGAAAAAAAAAAATGCATGCGACAATGCCGATTTTCTTCATGAATAATGCATGTACAATATTACATGTATAGGCAATATAATATGTGCATAGTCCTCTGCGTCTCTGCACTCAGTTTGGTATAACTTAACGAACTCTTGTGAGTTTGCTGTTTAAGTAGTTTTTACATAAAACATACAAAACTAAAGTTTAAACTTAGCTATAGTTCTACCTTAATAAAAACGCAACAAATATATAATATGTGGGGCTCCTCGCGCTCTCTCTCTCTCTCTCTCTTAGAGGATGTTAAACCACCCCTCCCCCTCCCCCGAACTCCTTCTAGATCCACCACTACATTACTTCTCTTTCAATCTCTTTGTTTTGGTGTTGAGATGTGGCGGGAAAGCGTTGTATCGTAGTCTCCTGGACGAACATGTCTTAATATTCTTTACTTTTAAGAAATCAATATTTCATTATATTTTTGAAAAACATCTATAGGAAATGTTCAAATATACACTTCATTTCAAATAAATACAGCAGATCATGTTTTAAAAAGAGAAAGTAAAATTGTTGATTAACAACGCGGTCTTTGTTTTAAACTATGCCTTACACTCGTGCCAATTTTCTCCGCACTTCTGTTATATCAGAGTTTGTCAATCAGGATTGGATGAAATATTTACCCCATTATTTATAAAATTTAATTTTACGATTATTGTGCTTTTTCTAAACATTTAGACAATCTTTGTTTAATATTGACTCGCCAGCGATATGAACATGATGAATGATCAATATTTTTATTTAAATTGTTAACTCCGCAGAAACGCACAGCGACTTAAAACTTTCATATCATATAACCGACCGCCTCCTGGCGGCCGGTAATAATAATCCGAGATAATGGATTATTTTATTTGAGGGAACAAATTGATAATGTGTGAGAACGAATTGATAATCCATGGGAACGGATTGGGTATTTCGAGATCTCGAATTATAAATCGAGGGAACGAATAGGTAATCAGTGGGAACGGATTGTGTAATTCGAGATCTCAAATTCATTTTTACTTTTTTGAAAAATCGACGTGTCCCTTCACGGCTTTCGTATTAAGGGGAATTTGCCATCTTGCTTGCCACTGGTTTCGCAGATTTCTTTGTTTTATGAACGAAATTTCGTCACCTTGTTTCCCATTACTTCAGGCGGTTTATTATGTTCCCCAAACGAAGTTGGGGAACATATTGTTTTTACTCTGTTTCTTATTATTATTATTATTTTTCTTCTTCTTCCTGGGTACTTTTTTGTCCGCGAGTGATCTTGTAAGTTGTTCACCCGAAGTAGGTAAAACCTTTTTAGGGTTAGTAGACATGTTATGTAGATTTGCGGAATCAAGGTCATTTTGCGCGCACGTGCTTGCAAGAGCGAGCACGTGCAACACGTTAAATGGCCAATATAATGTATATTGCCTTAACTTTTCTATTTCTTGATGAAATGCTTTGAAACTCATAAAGTAAGGATATATTAGTAGTATAGACAAGATGACATGGTCAAAATAGCAAGATCTCACGCGCATGCACGTGCGCTTCGCTCTGATTGGCTAAAACTAAAGTCTCAATATCTTTCTTGTTTTTTGACGAAATCCTTTGAAATTTTGAACATAGCCATGCATTACGATATCCTACAACATGATATATAGCAATTATCATGAAAACACGTGTATGCACGTGCGATGCAATCTGATTGGCTGAAACTTTAAAAAGCTATAACTCCCTTGTTTTTCAACCAACCAGGATGAGATTTAGAACACAGACAGACATAATAGACTCCTACAAGAACTTATAGTCATCATGCACATGCATGCACGCGCGTGCACGTGCGCTTTGCTCTGATTAGCTGAAACAAAAATCTCAATATCTTACTTGTTTTTTGACAAAATACTTTCAATTTTTAAACATAAGCATGCCTTAAGACGTCCTAAAATATGATATATAAAAATTTTCAAGAAACCACGCTCATGCATGTGTGCTGCGATCTGATTGGCTTAAACTTTAAATGCCTATAACTTTTTTGATTCTCAACAAAACAGGATGAAATTTAGAATATGAATAGATATGACGGATTCCTACATTATGCTACTATCAAACTTGAATGCAAGGAGATGCATGCACGTGTGCGCGCGCAATGCGTTAAATGACCGATTTACTTGATATAGTCGTAAATTTTTTATGAAACGTTTTGAAATTCAAAGAATAGAAACATATTAAAAGTGTAGTCACGATGATATGGCTTTCATGCATTGCATCTGCGCGCGCGTGCAATGCTCAAGTGACTAGTATACTTGATATGGCCGTTAGTTTTATATTTCTTTATTAAATGTTTTGATGACCTTGACCTTTGACCCTGACCCAAAGGTCACAATTCAGCCCAAGTTCGTAGATGTATTTACAAATCTGACTTTAACAAATGCTTAGAATAAATAAGTCAACCCCCCCCCCCTTCTCCTTAAAAAAAAAAAATCAATAGCAAGATAAAAAATTTCTCTGAAAATCAATCGACACCTCGAATCGACATAAAATTTCACTTAAGGTGCAGAAAAGACTTCATAGAAAGTTTCCTGAAAGTCATTGGCCATTGGCCATTGGCGCCACCTTCACCCAGAGTTTAACAGAAGGATTGTCCACGGCTATAGCGGTGCTTTGTCACGAGATTCCACACGAGTTAGGTCAGTATTCCCCTTGTTGTGTCACTTGATACCACTAATTTACTTTCTTATTGTGACTTGTGATAGTGACACGAGATACTATACGAACTAGTTTACTAACTCTCTTGTTGTAACTTAACGGATTGTTTGGTGAGTTAGCTCCACATTAAGCTATAAAATGGACAAAACAAACAAATGGTTTACGTCACAATCACGTTAGATGATTCAACTTTTCCTTCGTCAGTTTTTCTTATTTATGTACAGTGTAGTTGTATTCAACTCTCGCCTGCTTATGGTGTTAATGTCTCTAAACTTACTCACTACTCAAGATCATACTCTGAGAACGATCATTTTTAAAATGATGCATGCTACCCACTGATAAGTTGAGGTTACAGGGATTTCAACAACCTTATTTAAAGCCCACATTTCGTAAATTCCTTGATCGTAAGAGTTTGGGTAAAGTTGCACGGAGGTCTTTGCTATAAATAGGGGATTTCGTCATATTACTTGCCGCTGGCTGCACGAAATTCTGTGTTTTATTAAGGTACGAAAGCCATGAAGGGACACGGCGATTTTTCAAAAAAGTAAATATTAATTTGAGATCTCGAATTACACAATCCGATCCCACGGATTACTAATTCGTTCCCTCGATTTATAATTCGAGATCTCGAAATACACAATCCGATCCCACGGATTACTAATTCGTTCCCTCGATTTATAATTCGAGATCTCAAATTACACAATCCGATCCCACGGATTACTAATTCGTTCCCTCAATTTAAAATTCGAGATCTCAAATTACACAATCCGATCCCACGTATTAATAATTCGAGATCACGTTTTGAAACATCAATCTTATGATTTTGGCAATCAGTGCTCGCGAATTTTTTTTACATGTATATATGTATACATGTAATGTTGGATACCTTCAAATCCAACTATTTGAATCACTTAATGCGATTCATGTATTTTGTTTCAGCAACCGCGGTCGTTCTGAACCTCTTTAATTTATAACTAATTCAACGTATATTTATTTAGATAAAAAATAATTACACAGGAGCCATATTTACTTTTACTATATTTCAATTATTCTAATATACACGTAAAACAAAACCCAGGACTTTTTTGTATAAATATCAGTATTAGAATATGGATTTGAGTCATGTTCATATAATTTTCTCATTTTGGACCGTAATATGTAATAAAAGGTAGGATGTAAACAACTACAATATTCTATTTATTAAACACGTATTGCCATATCCGATATGTACAGATAGCTGATATTAATGAAATCATGAGAAGGGTTTACATTCCGAGGGAACGAATTGTTTAAAATGAGAGAATGAACAAGAAACATATTGACGCAAGCGTCAAAAATCGGCCGCAAACCAATTTATGTAACCGTTGAAATTATTTAGAAAATGAAATTTGCAGTTTTTTTTTTAAATTTCTTATATTTTCAACTAAAATATCCTCGTGACACGAAAAAAAAATGCATGCGACAATGCCGATTTTCTTCATGAATAATGCATGTACAATATTACATGTATAGGCAATATAATATGTGCATAGTCCTCTGCGTCTCTGCACTCAGTTTGGTATAACTTAACGAACTCTTGTGAGTTTGCTGTTTAAGTAGTTTTTACATAAAACATACAAAACTAAAGTTTAAACTTAGCTATAGTTCTACCTTAATAAAAACGCAACAAATATATAATATGTGGGGCTCCTCGCGCTCTCTCTCTCTCTCTTAGAGGATGTTAAACCACCCCTCCCCCTCCCCCGAACTCCTTCTAGATCCACCACTACATTACTTCTCTTTCAATCTCTTTGTTTTGGTGTTGAGATGTGGCGGGAAAGCGTTGTATCGTAGTCTCCTGGACGAACATGTCTTAATATTCTTTACTTTTAAGAAATCAATATTTCATTATATTTTTGAAAAACATCTATAGGAAATGTTCAAATATACACTTCATTTCAAATAAATACAGCAGATCATGTTTTAAAAAGAGAAAGTAAAATTGTTGATTAACAACGCGGTCTTTGTTTTAAACTATGCCTTACACTCGTGCCAATTTTCTCCGCACTTCTGTTATATCAGAGTTTGTCAATCAGGATTGGATGAAATATTTACCCCATTATTTATAAAATTTAATTTTACGATTATTGTGCTTTTTCTAAACATTTAGACAATCTTTGTTTAATATTGACTCGCCAGCGATATGAACATGATGAATGATCAATATTTTTATTTAAATTGTTAACTCCGCAGAAACGCACAGCGACTTAAAACTTTCATATCATATAACCGACCGCCTCCTGGCGGCCGGTAATAATAATCCGAGATAATGGATTATTTTATTTGAGGGAACAAATTGATAATGTGTGAGAACGAATTGATAATCCATGGGAACGGATTGGGTATTTCGAGATCTCGAATTATAAATCGAGGGAACGAATAGGTAATCAGTGGGAACGGATTGTGTAATTCGAGATCTCAAATTCATTTTTACTTTTTTGAAAAATCGACGTGTCCCTTCACGGCTTTCGTATTAAGGGGAATTTGCCATCTTGCTTGCCACTGGTTTCGCAGATTTCTTTGTTTTATGAACGAAATTTCGTCACCTTGTTTCCCATTACTTCAGGCGGTTTATTATGTTCCCCAAACGAAGTTGGGGAACATATTGTTTTTACTCTGTTTTTTATTATTATTATTTTTCTTCTTCTTCCTGGGTACTTTTTTGTCCGCGAGTGATCTTGTAAGTTGTTCACCCGAAGTAGGTAAAACCTTTTTAGGGTTAGTAGACATGTTATGTAGATTTGCGGAATCAAGGTCATTTTGCGCGCACGTGCTTGCAAGAGCGAGCACGTGCAACACGTTAAATGGCCAATATAATGTATATTGCCTTAACTTTTCTATTTCTTGATGAAATGCTTTGAAACTCATAAAGTAAGGATATATTAGTAGTATAGACAAGATGACATGGTCAAAATAGCAAGATCTCACGCGCATGCACGTGCGCTTCGCTCTGATTGGCTAAAACTAAAGTCTCAATATCTTTCTTGTTTTTTGACGAAATCCTTTGAAATTTTGAACATAGCCATGCATTACGATATCCTACAACATGATATATAGCAATTATCATGAAAACACGTGTATGCACGTGCGATGCAATCTGATTGGCTGAAACTTTAAAAAGCTATAACTCCCTTGTTTTTCAACCAACCAGGATGAGATTTAGAACACAGACAGACATAATAGACTCCTACAAGAACTTATAGTCATCATGCACATGCATGCACGCGCGTGCACGTGCGCTTTGCTCTGATTAGCTGAAACAAAAATCTCAATATCTTACTTGTTTTTTGACAAAATACTTTAAATTTTAAAATATAATCGTGCTTTAAGACGTTCTAAACTATGATATATAAAAATTTTCAAGAAACCAAGCCCATGCACGTGTGATGCGATCTGATTGGCTTAAACTTTAAATGCCTATAACTTTTTTGATTCTCAACAAAACAGGATGAAATTTAGAATATGAATAGATATGACGGATTCCTACATTATGCTACTATCAAACTTGAATGCAAGGAGATGCATGCACGTGTGCGCGCGCAATGCGTTAAATGACCGATTTACTTGATATAGTCGTAAATTTTTTATGAAACGTTTTGAAATTCAAAGAATAGAAACATATTAAAAGTGTAGTCACGATGATATGGCTTTCATGCATTGCATCTGCGCGCGCGTGCAATGCTCAAGTGACTAGTATACTTGATATGGCCGTTAGTTTTATATTTCTTTATTAAATGTTTTGATGACCTTGACCTTTGACCCTGACCCAAAGGTCACAATTCAGCCCAAGTTCGTAGATGTATTTACAAATCTGACTTTAACAAATGCTTAGAATAAATAAGTCAAACCCCCCCCCCCTTCTCCTTAAAAAAAAAAAATCAATAGCAAGATAAAAAATTTCTCTGAAAATCAATCGACACCTCGAATCGACATAAAATTTCACTTAAGGTGCAGAAAAGACTTCATAGAAAGTTTCCTGAAAGTTTTACGGTAAGTCTCTAAAGTATATAGAATTTATGAATTTTTACGGCATAAATTACAAATTCTGTCGTGTTTGAAATTTAAGTGCAGACGAACAAAGATATGATATAAACCTTATAAAGCCTATTTCTCCAGATGACATTAATAGCATTCAATTCTACTGATATGAATTTATATTTTAATACCAAGCATTCTTCTTTTATTTTACCTTTGAAATTTATCTGAATTTTTTTTAGAATTACGCAATCCCCCGAAATAGCGAGTTTTGGTATATTAAAAAGCAATACACGTTTCTTTCCCGTAAAACATCAGGTATTTGAATTCATGAAAAAAATATTAATGAAGGGGTGTTAAACAATACCTGTCACATTAGCTGGCACCAAAAAACCAGGGTACGTACACGACATTTTCTGATTTTTTTGCATCTGCAAATAAGGCTACCCTCAAATCCACGTGTTTTCAATGTCTTTATAAACATCTCAAAAGCACCCCAGGAAGTAGCCTCCTATACCCTGAGAAAATAGTTCCTGTCTAAACACTTTATTTATTTACAGAGTAGATAAAATTTCCTAGGCACATGTACCAGAGTTGTCAAAATGACCTGGAAGGGAATAAAAAAAAAAACTCTCAAAAGAAAGGAAAATCGGCCTTATATGTATGGCACTACAATTGACTAAGTTCATTTTGAATGGTCAATTACCGGTGTGGTACCCTTACATGTAGTTGCCTGTACCCAGTCCTGTCTTTCTGAATTAAACCAACTCCGAGCCCGATGTAAAAATCCTAGTAGAGAAATGAGAATTTGAATTTTGCTGTCTTATTATGTTCCCCAAACGAAGTTGGGGAACATATTGTTTTACTCTGTTTCTTATTATTATGTTCCCCAAACGGAGTTTGGGAACATATTGTTTTTACTCGGTTTCTTATTATTAAGGTCTTCCGTCTTCACGGAAGACCTTAT